CCCCCCCTCTCCATCGGTTTCGCTTCGACTTTGTCAACACTCACTTCTGAACTAATCATCCATTACATTCTCTTTAATTCTAATCTAATTATCTATATTTCCAAATATGACATACGTTCAACTAGCTACGACAACAATGTATTTTATAAACTTAATATTAAGTTATATATATATATAGTCCAATGGACTGGCCCAGCCAAGCCAGTTGCTTAAACAAATTTTTTAAGCCTACAAGCTCTGGTTTGGGCTTTAAATTTCGGGTCCAGTTATTTTTCGAGTCAAGCTCAAGCCCAGGCTTTTTCAAATAAGCACAGTTCGAGCCTAAACCTAGCTTGATAATATATTATAGAATTTGTGTTCAAATTGATCTTTAGCTTTGGGCTCAAGAGTAGTTTTTTTAATTTTTAAAAAGGCAAAGCCCAGCCTGTGAATTCATAAGTATATATGTATCTATGCAGTGGATTGAACATAGGGGTGCTCACAATTCCGTGTAGGCTTTTTTTAGATGAAACTGATCTTCTATTTTTATGAAATCTTGAACCAAAATCAATCAGTTAACCGATTCAGTTTTTGACTAATTCAACTCTTTAGAATTTTATATTTATAATATATTATAAATAAATATATAAATATATTATACATTATAAATATGATATCAGCTTGGTTAACCATCGATTTTTTCTTTCAGGTTAACCCAAATCAAGCCAATCAATTCCATTAACTGGAATTTTCGGTTCGATTTGATTTTTCAGTTTTTGTTAATCACTCAGCCCTAATTGAGCATCACTAATACATCCAAACTTTAACCCAATTCGAACCAAGTTAGGCTCATATTTTTCAACCCCAAACTGAACCCGACCTTCACCTGACCCAATTCAACTATCTTTTTTCCCTTATTGGACTGGGGATAACTTTGGCTCAAATCACACCCTTAATTATGTGCAAATAAAGAAATTAAAACGACAAAACAAAAAAGGAAAATCATTTCGTTTTTTTTTTCTTTGCTTCCTGATACAGTAGCAGCAATGTATCATCAGCATCAGCAACATTATTGCATGTGGTAATCAATCTCAATCGTTTCTTTTGTCGTTCATTTATGTCCACATTAGCCACGCCACTCCAGGAGACATGTCTCCCTTCTTTTTCATATAAAGGTGAATTCCAATTAAAGCATTTTGAACCACATCAATATGCTCTTAGACTACTGACTTCTCCACCTTTTTTATTGTTTGTTTTTTTGGCAGATGTAGGAGGACCCTCCTTCATCACTCCTTTACTTTCTTCTTTTATTTACCTCTGCCTCTGCCCATGTTGCATTTATAATTTATTAGATTATAAAAACCTGCTGTTACCCCCCCNCCCCCCCCCCCTTCATCCCTTTAGGGCATCTTTCAATATTATTTTATAAATCATAATAAAATGGTTTGATTTATAAAACAGTTTAGTTTGGTCTGAAAATTTATCAGACTATAATTTATGGAGAAGTACGGATACATCCAATGCAGATTTCTGATTCCCACTGTACAACTATAAATATTCAAAACGTCAAAAAAACACATCCCATACATCCATACCTGCCCATAAATTGGCATCAATTCCAATCTGGCACCTACCCGAAATATACTTTGAACCTACAAATTCTGACACTGGGGTTATCGGTTATTTGCTCTATAATTTATTGGTTTTACTTTGAGATCTTCAATAATTCAAACCAAATCAGACCTTAAACACCCCCTTAGGTTGCGTTTGAAAATGATGCAATGGAGTGTAAATCCCGGTTCAGGGTAAATTATGTATTCTGGTTCACTTTTGCTTGTATTTGAAAATATTACATTTATGTATTGACAAATGACAGACCAATGCATATTTACATTAATAATAAGATGTAAAGGCTGAGTTTGGAAAGAGTACAAATGCAAATATGTGGAATGTAAAACCTTATATTTTATATTATTTTATATGTATTTACACTATATATATTTGTATTTATACTCTTTTCAAACTGAGCCAAAAGTACATTAGTAAGAAAAAAGTAAATTTACATTCAAATAGACTTTTGATAAAAAACAGACATATTTTATTGAAATTTATGTTTACACCCATTATGGTAAGAAGATATATTTATTAGTGTAAAATTGACCTAACTTTACAATTTATATAAATCGTTTTATACTCTACATATTTGCATAGTTTCTGAACGCAGCCTTAGTGGCTAAAGTTTAAATTGAGTTGATTATTATACCCTTGACGTTAAATGTGTTATAACAGTTTGAACTCTAAAGTGATTGAAGTGAATAACTTATTTGTTTTTAGTGAATAAATTAATTAAACAATAAAATATTTGAGAGCTTAACAATCAATAGATATTAATTTTATAGATTAAATGGTTCACAACTTGTCAACTTCTTAATATACTTTACTTTTCTATTAAATTAAAATTCGATTTTAATTAGGTAGCTCACGTCACTAAAAAGGTTTAGGTGGGTTTAACATTTGGTGGCAGTCCCCCACCAAATTGGCCTGCTGATTTTGTTGCATGAACTCTGTTGTTTGATTTGGCTAATAATTATCTGAATACAAACTTATAGTTAATAAATTATTCAAAAAAGAGAAATCAATAAACCATTCAGTTCAGCTGAGCAATGACCCATTATCTCCATGCGTCGACGAACGGTCTTCAGGTCTTGGAGTGGAAAAGACGTGACGTACACGATCCATCTATCATTCTCTCCCAATCAGCTACTAACCTACTACCTTCGACCCTACCACTTTCTTTAGTCATTGGGAATGAAATATCGACCAACCTCGATGGACCGTCCAGGAAACAAACAAAATATATGAACAAGATCAGATGGTCCCGCTTCGCCTCTATCTCTCAAGTCTCAACCGTGGGATAGGACAAAGAGAGGGCCCACCCCCACACGGTATTTTCCATTTTTCCTGCTCTGAGTGCTCCCCCAAGTCCCAACCCCAAAACAAACAAAAAGAGCAAAGCAAGCAATGAGCAATCATCCTACATTCCTACTATACCTTCCCAAACCTCCTCCATTGTTTTTCAACACTTTACCGGTGTCTGTAATAGTGTAAAGTTAGTTGGCCAAATTAATAAACCACATTTAACTCTTACAGGTTGTACGTTACTCAACTATACCAATAAACTTTGAATGGAACTGATCAGCACCGTTCGATAAACCATCAAATCCATAGCTGGTTAACTGATCAGCACCGTTCGATAAATGGAACTCTCTCGTCTCATATTTGTTGATTTGATGTACGTAGTACGTACAACTATGATGCGCAACCAATCTTTCCCCACAGTAATTACTGTTTCGCAAGGGATGCGTACCTTATTACCAGTTAACACAACAAGACAATAACCACCCTTTATATTACGCCATATTTCCAATTATACCCCTCCCCTACCATTGAATTTCCAAAATTTTGAGCTCACAACCAGTCAGCCACAGAAGGGCCAACGTTGGGTTAGTTATTTTTACCTCCCATGGCCGAGTCCGGCTTCGGTCAGGGCAAAGCCCGTTCCAACAGCCTGCCGTTGAGAATATCTCCGTACTTATGTAATTTATTTCAGTAGATATTCCCCATGGCCACCTTTTTATTTATTTATTTTCTCTCTCTGCATCTGCGATACAGCGATAATTACAAAATCGACACGAACTTCCGATATTCCACTTTTCTTTGCACGGACTCCACCATTCCTCCTCTTCCCAGCTCGTTTATTTAAGTAAGAAACTCTTCGATCATTGAAGAACTCTCTCCTCTCTCTCTCTGCGCATTTTGGAAGCTCTAGTCAAGCAGTTGCAGAATTAGGGTTTCAGAACTGTTGGTCTACTGTCTCCATTGGTTACCTTTAATTTCTCTCTTACTTAGATTCCACACGTAGAGGTTCCAATGCTTCCGGACAGGTCATTCGTTACCTTCTTTAAATATCAACCTGACTCCGCTGCTTAAAACATATTATGTGGTTCAGATCACAGCACACAATGACAAGTGTTTAATGGCGTTTGCTCAGGATACTATTTCAGAACTTTCTTTAGGGTTTTTATAGTTATTATGAAAGTGAGGCTCCATTTGCAGCTCAATGGACGTGGGGAAGGCGCTGTTATGTAGTCTTCACAGCTTAAAGCTCTCTCCGGCTAATTTGGCTTTGCTACATTCGCAGAACCAATTTTTCTGGAGATCGCAGAAGAAGCCAATCTCTTGGTCCGTCATGTGTGGCTTGATGCTTTTTGCTTTAGGTTTAATTTCGCTTTTCACTGGACATGTTGCCTCTGATCTCGATTGGTACTCTCATCGTCTGATTATGACCCGTATATTCTACTCCAGACTGGTACGTTTGAGCATCTGCCAACTAGAACTCTCTATCTCTTTGATTCAGTAGCATAATGCAGTACAATTTTATCTCTTTTTCCACGCATGCTAAGCGGAAGGAAGAAGTACGATGTATTCTTACAAGCACTAAAATCTGATTTCCTTCCCCTGTTGTTTAACTAGTTGGATTTTAGACAAGGTTTCTGCATCCAGTTATAGTTACTATCATTATCATATGTATCCTTGTGATTTGGGAATTCTGCATCGCACTTTGCACTACCGTCTGCCTTATTTCTTTTCTTTAATAGGTAAAATAAATGAACAATTAAAATAAACAAATCCAGGTAACGAGCTCAAAATCAGTCTCATCTGAAATTGGATGGACCTTGGACATCCGTAAGATTCTCATCAAGGGCCTTTTAGAGGACTATATTGCCGCCTTGGATGTTCCTGGGAATCGCTTGTTGATCTTTATTTGTGGAAAATTTGTTCTGTTCTCACCCAAACCTCAGATCTTTTTCTGTTTTTCTTTGATCCTATTTGTTGTTTCTGGAGTTAAATTCTTCTTGTTTTGTGGCTTTACTACTACAATGGTTCAACCACCACAACCGTTACTGGTCGGTTTCTTACATTTATTCCATTCAACTTCATTTTCTGATTTTTCTTTTCTCTTTCCTTTTTCAATAGCACCTCTATATGGTTTTCGCAGTCCCGTTAAGATTGAGCCATTGCACATGCACTTTTTAGTTCCTATATTTATGTTTAGGAAGGACAAAGTGAGATGCAAATGGATAAGGAGGAAAAGGGCAATATAATGCACAATGATCATATTTACTGAAAGAGATTAGCTCCAGTAGAAATGCTCTAGCTTCTAGGAATCCTTGCGTGCACAATGCATCAAAAGAGTGAAAGATGCCTCATTTGACCTTTTCTACAACCTGGTGTTTCTCAAATATGCTGTTTTTGGTGCTTGAAGAACACCAATATCATTTCATATCCTTGTTCCTTGGACCATTTCCCCCCTTTTCTTCAGGTCAATAAAGCTTGATTAAAATAACTATGTTGTAATTAGATAACTTTATCAATTGCAAAAGTTCTAGGAATTGTGGATCTAAAAGATTTTGCCAAGTACCAAATTTATGTGTATAAGGACTGTATTCTGTGAATCTCACTCTCTGATTCTTCTAGGTTTATTTTGTCATGTCTCTCTTTCATAGATAATTTCCCTTGCATTCTGTGTTGATAAGAAGATCTGCAATCCATGCTTTGTTTACTCAAGTTGAATTACTACAGTTGAATAATACTAAAATGGAAATGCTGCAGAAAGGAGGTCGTCATGCACCAATTGATATATGGAAGTCAAGATCTTCAAAGTTCTACTATGGATGTAGTAATAAAGGCCCTCATTTCACTTGTAAGTTATTTTCTTAATTTATTTTAGCTACTAGAAAGGGACCGACATTTCTCTTTTAACTTGCAAATCTTAGTATATCTTATACTACCTTAGACTTATACTGGTATGAGGTCTACTTAAAAAATTTTTGAGTAGGTAATATGGATTTTAGGCATAACAACTTAAAATTGGCTATTGGAAGGGTGACATTGCCAATACGAAGTCATTTCTGTGTACTTCGTTTTTTCTTCAACTTTGTCTTCTTTTGGGAAACTAATTGGTGGAATATAGGGAGTAGAGTCAACTAGTCTGAAAATTTTAAGGCTTAGCAGATTAGCTAGGATGTTTGGGTTGTGAAAATAAAAGAAAAAACAACAATTAGCATTGTTTTAGTTTAAATGGCATTAGTAATATGAGTTAATGGAAATACTACAATATCCATTGTTAAATTATGAGAGCTTAAATCATTTCTTACTAGTTTGACCCAAGCCCTTTTTGGTCTGCCCCTAGCCCTTCTAGCCCCTTCAACTTGTAACAGATCAATTATTCTTACGTGTGCTGTAGAGGGAAACTTCTCTAAACCATTAAATATGCATTTACACTACCAGAAAGATATGATACATCTGTATATGACAAGCTCTTTTGATATGTTCTATCCAACTTATTTGAAACAAGAAAACAGGCAACCTATAGGAAACCATTGCTAGATTACCTGCTATAGAATGTTATGTAACTACTCTTGAGAGTATCCAACAATCTTTTAATTGTGAATTTATTAACTATCTTCAGTTCTTCATCAAAGTAAATGTTTGTCAATGGCACCGGTTGCACTTTGAAGTGACTGGGAACAAGTACCGGTGGGATCTATTGTCTGTCTGAATATTCCATGAAGAATGATGCTTGTGCAAGATGTCTATGATTTCAACAACCAATTCCACTGGTTATCTTGAAAATGCTAAGATAGATTATTAATTTCATTACCGTGCTGTGAAGAATGAAACACATGTAGATGTTGCTCCATACCTAACTGCTCATGTATCTTTTTTTGTTTTACTGAAAATCTAGCTGCTGTACGTGAGCGGTCTTCTAATGGATACTTGCTTATTGCAACAAGTGGAGGGTTAAACCAACAAAGAACAGGGGTAACATATATATCTTATCTTCTGTTGGTTATATTGAATTTTCATCTGATTATTACATAAATGTAATCTTATTTTTTTCTCATACTTATTTGAGATTGTGGAATGGATGAATAAACAATATCTCTAAAGAACCGTAGTTGAAATGCTCAAGAATGTTTTATATTTTGTCAGTTATTTAGTTTCGTTTCTATTTTAAGGGTTGTCTCTTTCTCATCTCTTTTGATTTCCATGCTGCTTTTGTGGTCCAAGGATAATTTTGTAGTCATAAAACAAAATCTTTTGTGAAGAACAGCACCTCATTATACCTTCTTACAGATGTACAGGTTCTTTGAGCTTGATCATTAATACAAATTTTTGTTCTTGACAGATAGCTTATTTTTACATTTTCACATCTAAGACATTAAGCCTTCTTGTCTTCCCTGGAGAATTGTGGTCCTGCTTTTGATTCGCTCACTTTTGATGACTTCCATCTTCTTTATGGTTGTTTTTAATGGAACTAATTCATCAACAGTACTGGAAATATTTTACTTTTTGAAGATAATATGAAACTTGTCGGATTTGTTCTCCAAACATGCATGCCTAGAACTTGGCTAGGGCTTTAACTCTATTTTATACACGTTTTACAGAAAGATGGCAATATGGTTAATCCTAATTTGCATAAATCTTGGATGAAGGATCCAATAGACTGCTTATTTCAAACCCTAATGGTGGATTCATTGTTGCTGCAAGGTGAAAAATGTTAGAATATGTACTTTCTGATGATAATTTGAATGCTTTGTGTGATGCATTCTTTCTTGGTCTCTGTGTCTTTGTACATTTCATGTAAATATTCTGGCACAATTTTGTGAAGTGTGAAATTATTTCATGGGCCATGGTTTTCTTCTCTGCCTTATTTGTATGCAACCTTTTTCATACTCAGATAACTGATGCAGTGGTTGTTGCACGTATTCTGAATGCTACATTAGTTATACCACAGCTGGATCATCGTTCCTTCTGGAAGGATGATAGGTGAGTTGATTTTGCAGTTTTATCCATGGTCATGCTACCATCTATGGTTTATTTACATAGCAATCATTGAGGTTGCCTTTTACTATTATCTTATGACAGATACCTCCATTGACATGCAGTGACTTTGAGAACATTTTTGATGTTGATTGGTTCATCTCTTCTCTTGCAAAAGATGTTACCATTGTTAAAAGAATCTCTGATAAAGTAATGAGATTAATGGAAAAACCTCCATACACTATGCGTGTGCCAAGGAAGTCAACTCCTGAGTATTATCTGGATATGGTGTTGCCAATACTTAAGAGGAGACATGTAAGCAACCCATGTTAATCTCTTTATTGCAATTGTATTCTTTATTTGGATTCTATCTATAGTAGGCTTTTTGAAATGTTATGCTGGTACTTGGAATTATTTGGTGGAATACCTAAAAATGTTATGCTGGTACTTGGAATTATTTGGTTCATGCAAATACAGGGAAAATAATGACCTTTTTCTTCTTTTCCATTTCCCATTATAACAGAAGACCTTACATCAGACTATTTGACAGTTTGTGGTAGAGTACTTGAAGGACTTAACATAAGAGCTGCTTAGAAGCAAATAATCTTCATTGTTTTGTTGGTTTGACATCTCTGATCGTTCAGGATTTTTATGGATTGTTATACAATGATTAAAACATCTTCATTTGTCTGTTCTGCTTTTTGGAGCAATTTCTATGATGAGTGAGTGAGCCAATTAACACATCAAACTTTTCGCAGGCTGTTCAGTTGACAAAATTTGATTACAGGCTTGCAAATAACCTTGATGATGAACTACAAAAGCTGCGTTGCCGGGTGAATTACCATGCTTTGAGATTTACGAAACCCATACAGGATCTTGGTCAAACACTGGTCATGAGAATGCGGAATATGACCAATCGTTTCATTGCAGTTCACTTAAGGTATATTCTGTTTGTTTACTTGGAAAATTGGAAATTGGGTTGGCGTTTGAAGGTGGTTTCTTTCATGAAGTTAATGCAATACTTCTTTCTAATCTGATATCATATCTGGCTGTGTTCCTTGCTGTATCTGGGTAGCATAGATGTATATGTTGTTGTACGTCTGAAAATGGTGTTCTTTTTTCATAATATGCTAAATTTGCAATCTGGACTACAATCTAGTCACTGTAATAGAAGATCTTAATGACTTGGCTTGGATGCCAGCTTTCATAAACATAGAGACCTAGGAGCATGGAAGTTTTTGGAGTAAGTTTGTATTTGGTTATAATTTAGGTGCAGTTTAATTCTTTTATGTGGACAAATATCAAATTAATACATTCAAAGCAATTCCATAAAAAAATGATTATATATGGCAATATGTAGGCTTTTCTGATTGACATACCCAAAAAGACCAAATAAAAAAGTATTATGATGTAAATTTTTGTCTTTTCTTGTACTTTTTGGCAATACAATTATACACTTCACCTTTCTTTTTATTTGTTTATTTGTTTTTTTTTTTGCCTTTTCACAGATCATGCTTGCCCAAGGGTCAAGTCACTCCAATATTCTCAGTGCTATTAATTTGGCATTTTTTTGTACAAATATAATTTAAATATGTTTGATATTCTCATTGCTATTCAATATGATACTTTAGAGTAATTCCTGAGGCTTCTTCTAAGTACTGTTGTTCTTTTCTACTTTTCTTAATAATTCTGGGAATTTATGTCTGCTTTCATCTTTTATCAATATACAGTTTGTCAAAGTGAATCCTTTATTTTTGTACTTTCTCAATGTCTTAGTTTCCTGGGCAGTAAATCATGTCTTCACTAGGCACCATTATATGATGTAATTTAATTTTAGGTGATTTTCCTCCTTTTAGTACTTTGACTGGTCTGAATTTCAATGTTCACCTTACTGACAGGTTTGAACCTGATATGCTAGCATTTTCTGGTTGTTATTATGGTGGAGGTGACAAAGAAAGAGCTGAGCTTGCTAAAATCAGGAGGCAGTGGCCAACATTACCTGTGAGAAATTATCCTTCTTTCATGAGTCTCATTTCTTGATGACAAGTTCTTGGAGCTTTTTTTCAGGAAAAAAGAATGTATGGTAGAATCCTTTGGTGAAACTGTTTACTATTGCAATTTCCTTATCCTGGTGCCCTCTCCATGGAGGGTCACTTTTGTCAGTATTCCCTTTCTTTCTACTGGTAATAATGGAAGTTTTACCTTCTGTCGTTGTTTCTGAATAAAGTCTCTGTTATGGATCAAAAGGAAAAAAAGAAAAGAAAAAAAAAACTGCTTACTGCCAGCAAATTCTGAAACATCCAATATTGTCACAGATTCTTACATGTATTATCCTGCAATTTATGGAGAAAAATATAATAATTGCTACTTTTCAAAGTATAATCATATTTCCCTTTTATTTCACAGCCTTTGAGCCCCGAGGGAGAGCGGAAAAGGGGGAAATGTCCTCTTACCCCTCATGAAGTGGGTCTGATGCTGAGGGCACTTGGTTTTGGAAATGATACATACATCTATGTTGCATCAGGAGAAATATATGGTGGAGAAGAGACTTTGCAGCCACTTAGAAACCTCTTCCCAAACTTCTACACAAAAGAGTTGCTTGCTAATGAAGAGTTGAGGCCTTTCAATTCCTTCTCATCACGCCTTGCTGCCCTTGACTACATTGTCTGCGATGAAAGTGATGTATTTGTCACCAATAACAATGGAAATATGGCCAAGATTCTAGCAGGTCGACGGTAAGGACTGAAAACTAACGAGTTTCCTTTCCTTTCAGTTTCCTTTGTAGGAATACTTTCTGTGGTTAGACAAAGAATTTCTTTTTCTGAAAAAAGAAGGCAAAAAGAATATATAAGTTGAATTAACCTTTTGGGACATCAAGAATGTCTAGACTTGTGGATTTGATATCTCTTTAGATAGAAACTTTCTGATTTGCCTGGTTATCACTTTCATTTTGTTTATCTTTATCTGATTTTTGGTTTCATTAACGAAAACCTCATCTTAAATTAAACTTGGTTTGATTTTGCTGAAGCATCTTTACTTTCATTTTCCTTCCAAGTTCCACCATGATGGAGAGAAATCTCACATTGAAGAGTTAGGCACTTGACAGACAACAACTCTATATGACTCATTTTGTACACTATGATTGAAATTATGCAGCCACAAGGTGGTTCTTACCCAAGGCAGTGTAGCATTGACTCTTCTAAACAGACAATGTGTCCATGTCAAATTTGACACCATGGTTTCGTAAGAGAGACTTCTGTGTAACATTTTTTTTATCAGTAAACATGCATTTTGTTAAAATTAGATTGTAAACAGTTTGTACAACTTGGTGATGGGACTGTTGATCCCCTTTAATCACTCTATTCTGTCCCTCTCCCAAAGGGCTAACTTCCTATCAAACCTTTCTAAAACTGGTTTCCAAAACCCAACTGACCTGGGATTTCCTCCTAAAGATAGACCTAGGTAACTGATAGGCCAACTTCTGATCTCGCACCCCAAGATCTCCGCAAATCTTATTAGCTATCCTTCCTCCAAATTGACCCCTACAATTGCACTTTTGGTCCAATTTTCCTCAGCCCTGTCACTCCCACAAAATTATTCAGCAGCACCCTCAAATTTTCCACCACTTCCTCATTGTTTCCTTCACAAAAAAAGATGGTGTCATCTGCAAATTGGAGATGGGTAACGATCACCTGATTTCTACCTACCCTCCAACCTCTAATAAGGCCTAGAGCATCAGATTTTGCCACCATTCTGCTTAACACTTCTACCACTAGGGTAAACAAGAATGGGGATAGGGGGTCACCTTGCCTAATTCCTCTCCTGGCCGGGAAGAAATCCTTTGCTGTACCATTGATTAGGATTGAGTAATGAGCTGAACTTAAACATCATTTAGTCCAAGACCTCCATCTAGCTCCAAATCCCAGTCTTTCTAATATTTTTAGGACTTCCCAATTAACCAGGTCATAGGCTTTTTCTAGATCTACTTTACAAACCAGCCCCTTTTCTCTACCCTTTCTTCTTTCCACGACGCTTTCATTAGCCACCAAGATTTGATCCACAATATGCCTTCTACAAAAGCACCTTGGAAAGGAGAGATGATCGAGGGTAACACCTATTTTAGTATTTCTGATAAGACCTTTGACAGAATTTTGTAAACACTCACAATGAGGCTTATTGGTCTACAGTCTTTAGGAGTTTTGGCCTCCCTCTTCCTTGGAATCAAAGTGATAAATGTGGCATTTGCTCCTGGTGAAACCTCTGTGAAACATTGAACAGCTAATGCAGAAGATGAATGATATTTTTCGTATCAAGTGTTACTCAGTAAAGGCAACATTTCAGGCTCGTTTTTTTATAAGTATATATATACTATGCTACTATTATTTAACAATGGATATCGTACTTAACATAATGAAATGGCAAAACAGGATTCATGCAGCTAACCCTATATAGTTGAGGCAAGGCTTAGATGGTGATGATGATGATGATGATGATACTATGTTAGAATTCAAAATAAATAAACTATTTTAATAGTATATACTTTTCTATATGTGTCCGCAAGTCCATGTTTTCTTGTCTTGACCAAGTTAGACTCTTGGGTACACATCAGATTCCAACAATCATCATGTAACACTGGGCAAATTTAATGATACAACATTTGAACCTAAGTGTCAACTAAAAATGCGATTCCATTCTGTATTTTCTTTTTCAGAGTTTTTATGTAGGTTTGTTCTTAATAGAGTACAGATGGAAGGTTCTCTTATTCAGAATAAAAAGGTTCAGTTTTTAGAGGACAAATAGTCCCATACTGAGAAAAGAGTAGAAATGTGAAAAAGCAGGGTATTTGTGAGAGTTAAAGCTCACTAAGGTCTTGTATAGTTTGTATGTAAAGTAAGAAGGAAAGAATATAGTCTCTCCCACTAGATTTAAGTTGGTAAACAGTTATGAAAAGTAAGTTTGGTTCTTTGGTGACATCTTTTAATTAGGTTATTGACCGTCAAGATGCCAATACTGACATAGCACATGCTGTTGTTTAATGCTATTCTTTTGGCTTGGGTTGCATCCTAGAAAAAATCAAAATTTTTTTCGTCATATCAAAAAATGAGGGTTAAAGAAGGCCAATGTGTATGTTATAGTAAATCTTAAAAGTGATGTATTATTATTATTATTATTATTATTATTATTATTATTATTATTGTTATTGTTGTTGTTGTTGTTGGACTGAACACAGGGCAGTATTCACAACTGCAAAACCATTACGATTTTATCAAAACATGAACCTCCGGTACATCAAAGTAAGGAGACCTTTCTAGATTAGCATAGCCATTTGGATTGTGTAAAACTTTTTTATGATTAGTCATGAAACCATTTGATTTATATGGACTGCATGTTATTGTTGTTATAAACCTGTGATGGTATCTAGCTATTTCCATTGGGATGTTGGTAATTCCTCTTTTATCTTCTACTGATGTTACCTGTTAGTAGTTCACTAATTAGTTTTCTTAATTTCATATCATGGATCTCAGGAGGTACATGGGGCATAAAAGGACCATCAGACCAAATGCAAAGAAGCTAAGTGCATTGTTCATGGCAAGGCAGAAGATGGATTGGGAAACATTTGCCAGAAAAGTGAAATTGTGCCAGAGAGGTTTCATGGGAGAGCCAGAGGATATGAGATCAGGACGAGGCGAGTTTCATGAATTTCCATCCTCTTGCATATGCCAGAAACTGCATAGAGATGATGACATTGAAGATAGCAATGACACAGGACAACCAATGGGACAGTATACAATAGGTTTAACAAAAATCACGTCAGAAAACAATAGGACGATTGGAGAGCAGAAACAAAAGTTGCAGAGTTTTAACAAGTATAGGCCAAGCCCAAGTATCTAAAGGTAGAGATGTTGTGGAAGAGGGGAAACTGTTAGATTAGAATTTAGAAGTCACTAATGTATGGTGGCAAGATCTTCTTTCAAGACTGACTTGCCGAAACCAGCAGCATAACCGAGTAAATTGGGTCCTTATCTGAGCCTTCATGCTACACGATCTGGGCCCAAGGTTGACCTTCTTGTGTTCAATACCCTGCTTGAGTTACTCGACTAGGATTTTGGTCGAGCTTAAAGCATGTATAGAAGACAAACATGAGCCACAACTGGACTTGCTGATGCTGTATAGAAGATATTTGCGCATAAATGAAAGCTGGCTCTCTTTGATAAGACCCAGCTGTATTTTCCTTGAATCATTCATTCACCAGCAACCCAAATTCAAAGTGCTTTAAACTAATAGTAGTCTGTTGCGTGCGTCATTGCCTTTAGTGCCATCTCATTGTTGCAATTCCGTTAGCATTGCTATAAGCTATTAGCTTCAGGTTAGCTTTAAAATGTTGGGTTTGTCGTGAACACTGAGCCGGTGCAAGGTGGGTTAGACTTTAGAGTTGGCATATGCCGTGGCCCGTGGGTATTCAGTTCAGACAATACAAGGTGGGATGATGTAAGTGGGTGAATCTGTTGGGGTTCAAATGGATTTGCAAGTGAGGGTGGTAGTAGTGGGGTACCCGTGCCGTGTTGAATTTGTTCATTTGTTGTTTTTACCGAAAACGATACAAGGTAAAATTGCAGGCTCATCCGCTGATCCGTATAATAATTCTATTGGCTCTGTTTGTTTCAATGTAAAATGCAAGAAAAGTTTTTCTGGCTGAAATATTTGAAACATCGTTTGATAGAAATTCGAATGTTAATTGTGCAAAACAGGGGGCGATTGTTAACTTGTTATATAAATTCTAAAATGGCTGAATGGAACTCATTTTTTATTTACATATTCATTTGAGGCATGAATAAGCGAAAGATTTCTCGTCCATGAGCTCCTTTGCTGTGGCATCCATCTTCTTCCTTGAAAACTCTTCGATCTTAAGACCTGCCATGGCAATAAGTTCGTAAGCAAGCCATATAGAACAGCCAAATCCCTGGGTGAGCAATAAGTAATTAGCAAGATCTCAAAATCGATGGAGGCGGCACGTTTTTTCTTACTAAGCATCCTTTTCAGCTCTCAGAAGATCCAGTGTGAATTTGATTATTTGTTCATGTAGTAGAGAACATTAAGACAATGCCACAATACTTCATATGGGCGTTTAGAAACCTTACCCTTCACAATCGACCATTCTCCTTTCTCACATGTAACAGGAAAGGAGTAGATAAGGCCAGGTTGGATGCCATATGACCCATCTGAGTACACACCCATGGATACCCACGTGCCCTGGATGAGAAATACAGGGAAGATAAACATATTGAATAGAAGCTTAATTAGTTTGAAAGAAAATTAGATGAAAATACTTGGCTCCTTTCATGTTAGTGGACATGTCCTAGTATAGCCATTGTACACACTAATTTTAGGTTTTAGGGTTATGGTTTAGGATTTAAGGGTTTAATGTTTAGAATTTAGATTTTAGGGTTTAGGATTTAAGATTTAGGGTTTAAGGATTTAGAGTTTAGATTTTAAGGTCTAGGATTTAAGATTTAGGATTAGGGTTTAGGGATTAAGGATTTAGAGTTTAGATTTTAAGATTTAGGGTTTAAGGTTTAAGGATTTAGAGTTTAGATTTTAAGGTATAGGATTTAAGATTTAAGATTAGGGTTTAGGGTTTAAGGATTTAGAGTTTATATTTTAAGGTTTAGGCTTTAAGATTTAAGATTAGAGTTTAGGGTTTAAGGATTTAGAGTTTAAATTTTAGGGTTTTAGGGTTTAAGGATTTAAAGTTTAAATTCATGGTTTAAGAAGGGTTTAAAGTTTAAATTTTAGGATTTAGATCTAAAAATTAAGAGGTGGGAGGACGTGCCTCCTCCAACGTGGTAGGATCAAGTGTTGCCCGAGAATAGATGTCACGGTCTCATGGATGCTGCAAAATCAAAGGATTCCAGTGGTAGAGTTAGAAACAACCTTAGGAGTGCCAAGAACCCAATCATGGACATGATCACATGCCGCACTGGCAGCAGAGAGGGCACTTGAGAGCTTCCGAGCTTTGATGATGGCTGCACCTCGCTGCTGTACGGTGGTGATGAACTCGTTATTCAACCTTGAACAAGGCAAAAGACGATCAAAATTGTGTAATACTGATACATTAAAGAAGAGATCAACATTCTAAGATGTCTAAATTTAATGAGATATGTAGTAAGAGAAAGTTCTTTGGATACAACTTACAAGAAGTTGCACATATTAAAATCTAACCGCATTCGTTTTCACTTACCTCCATAAGTTTGTGAGTTTATTCAGGTAATTAGTGTTTTTCATGCAAAAGTAGTCCGGAATAGTTCGATTTCAGCATTCTTGTATGATATAACTTATTCGGGTAAAGAAGAGGTGAGAGGGAGAACTGTTGTCATCAATTACCTCCATTAACCAATTTTCCCCGTTAAATACCAGCAAACAAAAGGGCCCTAAAAGTTAAATTATGTTAAGCATACACTATACTAGAAAAGAAGGAAATTGTAGGTACCACTGGTCATCGGCTACTAGCTGTCTGACAGACTTCTCCCCGCTTCCGGTGGTGACGGTCGCATGATTCACATCAGGATATTGAGTTGAAGAGTGGTTGCCCCAGATGATTACATTCTTAACATCACCGACAGGGACGTCAAGCCTCTCTGAGATCTGGGCCAGAGCCCTGTTGTGATCCAGTCGTGTAAGACATGTTATATTTTTCTCTGGGATTGAAGGTGCAAACTCTTTTAGGATGAGCGCGTTTGTGTTTGCTGGATTGGCAACAACCAGCACCTGTGAGAAAGAGAATGCATTAATCCTTGTTCAAGGTGAATTTCTGGCCTTTCTGTGACTACCTACTGCTGCAACACCACCAACCAAGCTATTCATTCAAATAGAAATTAATTTCACCTTGCAATTTTCAACTGCATGCTTCTCCAAGGCTGAAGCTTGAGCTTTGTAGATTTCTACATTTTTGGACATCACATCCTTCCTTTCCATTCCCTCCTTCCTGGGGAAACCACCAACCATAATTGCTATATTAACGCCCATACAAGCTTCAACAACATCCGTGGTGGCAATGACACCTACCCAGCAACCATACACACTAATCAGTTCTACTACATCAAGATTCAAGCATATAGCTAGGTGATGAAATAAGCCCTCAAATGGAAGAGAAAGAAAGACCTTGGAGGAGAGGAAATGCAGCATCAATCAATTCCATTTTCACTGCATTCAAAACTTCTGCAGCGGGTTGGATATCAAGCAGATGCAGAATTATTGGCTGATCTGGACCCAACATCACCCCTCTGGCAACCATAGGGGCAAGAGCATAGCCTATTTGTCCTACAAAACAAGTTGAATAGTAGAGGGTTAATTAGTTCCATGAAACTACTGAATTAATTATAACTAGAAGCATACTGGTAGCATCTGAATCTGATGCTCAAGGGAACTCATTAGAACATGCTCTACTTTCTCGTTTATCTTATTCCAAACATTCAGATAACTAAAGCACATCTACTTGCTTAGATTTGTTTGCACATTCAGTTTTATCAAAGAAAAGTATCTCAATTTCAGCTTGTTTAAATTGGGACTTTGACGGTGATCGAAGCAGTACTCTGTATCAACTAAAATTATAAGACAATTGCATGCTTTGCACCACAAGAAAGGTTGTAAATTTAATTAAAGAATGCAAAAGGATGGAAACTAATTATTGAAAAAGATCGGAGAAAACAAACATGCCTGCAGCACCGGTAATCAGGACCCTCAAAGGCTCTTTTTCAACCTTGAGAAAACTCGCTATATGCTTAATGATTTTCCAGAAGAGAAAGAGAGCAACCGAGACAACTATAACTTTCTGAAGCATCAGATGATTCTCCATTAACTCTAACTTATAATAATCTCTACGAGAGACAGAGGCAGGTATAAACCACTGGTCCAACATATATATACATATGAAGAAGACATTTAAATTAAACATATAATCTGAACAAGCACCTTGTTGCCAAGACATCCAGATACCAATCCAAAATCCACAAGAAACGCACACGTTTAAGGTTTCCTCATCCCAAAGCAAAGAATTATCACAAGACTAAGCAACGAATCCAAGATGTGAGATTCAAGAAGCATTATACCCCAATGCAAGTTCTATGGAAAAACGAAACAAATAAACAAATAATGTAGCGAGATGGAGATGATGGAAACAAATAATTATCAGTAGCTCCGCTGAAGAAAATCGTAGATGGTTTTTTTTTTTTACAAGCTCAGCCGAATGAGCCAAGACTGGAGCTTTGAGTCCGACGGAAAAGTTTACAGAATTTCAGACTTCAGGGTATGACACGATATTCGGAGTCCGGATCTCCTGTTCATAAGAACTCTGCCCACCTCTACCCACGTACCATCGCAACCACACATGGAGGACATTTCATCCTCCTACACGGGGAGATGTTCCCAATGCACGGGTAGTGTGTTGTGGGTAGATGTTAGCCGAGTTCTGGTGGGCAGGAGATCGGGCATCCGATATTCAAGATGCCCGATAAGAGAGAAGGAATGCAATATTTTCAGTTAGCCCTTTCTATCTGGGAGAAGGAATCATCCATTTTCCATCCGCACTGAGAAGGGATTCAGTTGTTAGCTTCTTTTCCTTTGTTGTAGTTCTGTCTTTGCTTTCTTTTGTTTAATGAATATCTCTTTTACAAACGGGTCCGATTATGATGCGGAAAAGACATGACATCCAAAAAACAACTGACCAATAAATTGGAATCACAAAGTGGTAGCGAATAAGGTGTTATTTATCAAAATTTATGGGTGGATTTTGATCAGTAAAAACTCTTGGGGTAATAGCATATAAGGACAACTTTTGGGGTTTAATATCAATAAAAAGTAATATATTTAAAAAAAATTCAAAAATATGTTAACTTTTTAAAAATAATATCAACAAAGGACAAAAATACTGTTCATCTTCTTCTTCTTGACATTTGTTCACCAGAGCCACCATCCACCATCGTCGTTCGCTGCCACCCACCTCTGCCTCTGCCTCTGCCTCCGCTTGTGGCAACGTTGTCGGAGGTGGCCGGAGGCAGAGGTGGTGGTGGCGGCGGTGGCGCTGGCGGTCATTCCTCTGCCCACCGCCACCTCTGTCTCCACCCATCTCCGGCAACGTTGCTAGAGGTGGAGGTGGGCGGAGGCGGGTGGTGGCGGGCAACGGCTCTAGTGAACAAATGGCAAGAAGAAGAAGAAGATGAACGGTGTTTTTTTTATACTTGATGTATTAAATTTCATTTTCTCTTATTAAGTCATATATTTTTAAGTTATTTTTCACTAATAAATACTACTAATTAGATCTATGTCAATATTTTTAACAATATATACCAATATATTTTAAAACTGACTCAAAAAACCATTTTTATCGAAATAGTGGCTAAGCAATTCAACCATCCAAATCAAATTGATCAATTTACGAAGTCATAGTTAGGTAATAAAATTTTTAAAATAGAATAAACATAGAAATTTACAGAAAAATAGAAAAAATTAGACACATTTAAGATAATTTTTATTAATCAAATTAAAAAAATAAGTGTAATAAACAAGAATTTTTTTTTATTGATAATGAGAATGGAATACATAATTTATGACTAACCAAAAATGAAATACAAAAATTAATAATAAATAGTTCAACTTTTGGGTTAAATACGTTAACATTTAATGTCATAAATAAATAATAAAATATAAAAATACAAAAATGAAATATGCATAAATTTTGAGAAAAAAGCATTCAAGCACAGTATAATACTATATATTTATCATATTAAATAAAAAGTAAATGTGATCATTAGAATTATTTTTACACAAAAAATACAAAAAAAAATGTAGAAAAAATTGAACACGTCTATAATTCTATATTTACACTACTATTAACAATAAGAATAAGATTGTGAAATTTTCTTTTGACTAAAATACTTATTAATTTTTGAATTTAGTCCTTACTTAATTGTAAATTAAACTATTACTTTTCACCTCATTCAATTCCCTCTATTTAAGTCTTATATTTTTTTTTATAAATGAACAAAAGAAAAAAGATAAAACACTACAAAAGAAGAATCTATCCAAGCAGGTAGGTCTGTCAATGAAACTTGAAACTTCACAACTTAATTCGATTATCACATATTTGGATGAGGTGTTTATGTAATCAAATTTGAATTTTGCAATCTGTATCCGATTAATAATAAAAAACAAAAAATATAAAAATGAAAAATAAATAAAATTTATAAAAAATTTTGAATATATTATTAATATCATTATCATTATATAGAAATGCCACGTGCAAAACACATGCACACTTACTAGTTAACTTAAATGTACCATCTACTAAGCCACACAACTTTTGGAGTTGTATTGGACTATTTGAGCTCTTTGCCAAGAGGGATTCTATGCTAATTAGATGGTTTGACTTCCTTGCAGCCTATTTTAATAAAACTGAAGTGGTATTGTTAAACACCTTTCAATTCCTACTTGACTCAACACATTGACAAGGATCACATCGAATATTGGAGATTATAAATAACTTATTATTAAATAGTTAATTAGAGGTCACACTACAAAGAAGCAGCATGCCTGCTGCGGTGAGGAAGTGATGCGGCTGCACCCAAGAAACAAATTCATGAACCACCTCTTACCCATGTTAGGAATGTGATTATCAGCCGGAATGCTCGTCACCGGGCAAATTATACTCACCATCTTCTCTCCCCACCAATTGGGTCTGTGGGTTTCACAATAGAGCTTAGGATTGAGAGAACATCGTACTCTTGCTAAAGCAGAGCTGAGAAATGAAATTAAATGAAAGATGATGTAGGGTGATTTGGCCTGACCTCGTAGCACGGGGATACGTGAACATGACCTGTCATAAGTGACAACTCGGCACGACAGCCTGGCCACAACCCGGCATAACAAGCTCGCCGAGACCTGACCGAACGATTCGGCAGATGTGGCAACTCACCGGGAAGCAAGGCCCAGCTCACCCCAAGCCCTAAGGGTGGAGCGCCCCGAGCTCCCTCCATGCAAGGGGACCCGAGCTCCCTTTGAGACCCAGGCTCCTCCCAAGGGGTTTCGAGCTCTTCCTTCCTAAGAAGGGAACACCTCGACTTTCGGCTAATGTCCCGAGGGAGAAACACCTCAGGACAACACCGTCGACACTCCTGTTCATACTTGCTTAAGGCTCGCTTCCAGTGCGGTGCAAAGTAGCTCGGCAACCTACAGGGAAGATCCACCTGACATCCGTACTTGCCGGATCTGGTGGCAATGCCCACGTCTCTCGCCAAGCGGCGTCGTGCCTGCCATCTCTGAAAAGCATGGCATGCCTGACGAGTCCATACCCTGCAGCGGCTGCCTACACCTGCCACCTCAGCCCTGGCAGTAACGGCTATGGCAGTGGCGGTTGCGCCTAATGTGACAGAGTTTTGGTATAAGAGGACCCCGACCCTCGCGAAGCAAAGGTATTGAAGGTAGCACTTTCAGCACTCTTAACTTTGTGTTTTCTTTGAGTTTTCTCAGAGCTCTAACTTATCCATCGGAGTGCTCCCGCTGGGAGAGCTCCCCGGGAATCCTTCACGTTCCTCTCCGTTTCAGGTGTCGTCTATCACAGCTAGGAGCCAGGTTTCAGCCAGCTAGGAGTGCCCAGATCGTGCTACATCATTTGGCGTCGTCTGTGGGAACGTTTCAAAAGGCCTTCCTCTAAGTTCTGTGCAACTTTCTCCAAAGAACTCATCAGCATCATCGACACCCATGGCTTCCTCCAGCAACGCCGGATGCCGAAACACCCATGAGGAACAACCCCAGTTTCCCACTGTCTGCATCAGATAGTTTACCGTCCCCCTCTCTGCGAATGGGGTTCCCAGTCTGAATGTGCCTCAGACAGTGGCACCCGCGACTGTTCCACTTCCCTCTACAGTCAAAACAACCATCGCGGAACCCACCATCCCCCCTCCGGTGGCCAGCCAAGGTCAGCTTGAGGATCTGATGCAGTGCATGCGAGCCATGCAGGCTCAGATGCAACAGTTCCAGCAGCTCCAGTTTCACCAGCAGCAAGTGTTGCACCAGGTTTCCCAATACTAGTATCAGCAATAGTTTCCTTCACTCCCTCCTCGACATCCAACTGCACAGCCAACCAAGCCCCACTGTCGAAGTGAGCATCCTTCCCGCCGAGGAGAGACCTCGGTATCGTCTCATGGAAGAAAGGAGAGACCACCTACCCCCGCCTCGCGGCCTGCAGTTAGGTCGGGGGCTTCCCAGCTAGTTAGGCCTGTATCACCTTAGCGTTCGCAGTTAGAACCCCCACTTGCCGAAAACCGGTTCGAGGTGCTGGCCGACGACCTGGGACAAGATCCCTCTGTTCACAGCTATCGACAGCAGTCTGAGCCTTTCCTTGGGTCCATCGAGCTCAATAATACTGAGGCCAGCAGCACCAACGCCGAACCGACCAAGACGCAGCGGAGGCGTCGCCGAGCTCGCCAAACTGCCACCCGCGATCTGCCCAAACTCAAAGACAAGGAAGAGGTAAGCTCGGGCAAGGTAAAAGCTACTCTGCTTCTTTCAGTTCCTTCCCCTCTGTCACCAGAGCTCCTTGTTGTCCCCATGCCAAGGGACTTCAAGCTCCCCCTGCTGGACAAGTATGACGGATCCTTCGATCTGAATGATCACGTGGATGCCTTTCAGTCCCAGATGCACCTGGCAAGAGCTAGTGAATCTTGCATGTGTGTGGCCTTCTCCACCACCTTCAAAGGGGTAGCCCGCACCTGGTACCGAACTCGCGCCCGGTTCTATAAGAAGCTGGGCACAGTTCGTGCAAGTCTTTACCTCCCACTTTGTCACCAGCAAGATGTGCCCAAGAACTCAAGAGAGCCTCCTTGGCATAGTTCAGAAGGAAGGGGAGTCTATTCGAAGCTACATCAAGCGGTTCAATGACGCTTGCTTACAAATACCCGACCTGGACCCCACAGTTCGGCTCACTGTGGCCAAGCGAGGCATCACCCACAAAGAGTTCAAGTGGCACATGGTTGTCAATCAGCCGAAGACCGTGACCGAGTTCCTCAAGCTCGCAGATCGGTTCATAGGGACGGAGAAAGAGATCCACCAGAAGGACGAGCAAGCCCTTGAGAAAAGAAAGAGGGAACCAGAGCCCCTGACTCAGGGTGACAGCAAGAAGAAGAAAGACCAAGCTCGGGGGGCAAAGCCAAATCAGCCTTTCCGAGCTCCAGCAACAGAAAGGGACTACACACCCCTCAACGCAAAGCGGGCCGAGATCCTTATGGCGATCAAGGACGCCCTGTATGTGAAGTAGCCACCTCAGCTGAAGGTCGACCCTAATGTTAGAAATAAAAATTTGTATTGTGGTTTTCATAGAGATCACGGTCATAGTACTGAGAATTGTAAAAACCTCCGCGACAAGATAGAGGAACTCATCCGTCGCGGATATCTGAGAAATTTTGTACAAAACAATAATAATAATAAAATAGGTCGGCAAGGGGAGTAGAGTAAGGATTCTCCCGAATCTAGCAGGCAAGCAGAACAGCCGTAGAGGCAACCTCCCGATGAGAGACCAGTCCGGGGAAAG